TCAATATGTATAAGAAATTTAGTGGAAAGTTTCGAGAGTCGTTCGTTGAATGTTCAAAGTGAGTCAGTGAGTGTTCTTTGAAAAGCGCGGCAAGATTGTTTTTCAAAATTGGACAGTCTAGTTGAAAATGACTAAAACAGTTGAAGACAGTAGAACTCACGCGTCTACACAGATTATTCATTCTACTCACTCCGCAATTCTTGCTTTGGACACACAGAGAATTGCAGAACTTGGTTGATATCATTCACCATCAGTTCTTTTTAAGGTTGGAGAAAGTGAACAAGCCAAGTTTCTTTGTAGCAACAACTCTGTTAGTTATACAAAATACACAATTGAACTTACTGTATGTTCTTTTGAATGCAATATTCTATTTCAATACAGAACTTTGAACATTCTATTCAGAAAACTTACTTAATTACATTTATTCTTATTCAAGCTAACAGATAAAGGGAAACTACTTTTTTCTCCTTATTATTCACACATTACAAAAATTGTTTTGTATTTGTTGATTTTTTTATCGTTGAAACACAAATCGGTTTTCCATTGTTTTTCCTTGATTTAAAAGAATGTATAAATGTTAAATGCTCTTCAACACGCAGCCACATTAATCTTTTCAACACAACCAGCATTCTAAGATATTTGAAATGTTTTTTCATGGAAAGTGAATATGTTATTTTAATTGCTCATTTTTAATAAACAAATTCATTTATATTTCCAACATTGCTTTTGCAATGCATATTTTGTCAAGGGTTTGCTATTCTTTACGTGGGGATAATTTCGTTCGCTAATCTTGACATGGGGACAATTAGGTTCGCTGTTTTTGACATGGAAATGTTGGGTTCGCTAATCTTGACAAAATCCAACTCACAATTTCCTCTTTTGTTCTTCTCAGTTTTCATTTCATTTTTCCTTTCTTTATATTTTCCTTTTACTTCCTTTTTTATGTCGTTTTGAGAATTTCTTGTCTTCCCAATTCTTTCCGATTTCTTTTTATTTGATTTCATTTAATTTCTTGAATTTCTTTTTCTATAGAAACTCTTAACCTTTTCCCCACCCCAGCATTGATTATTTTTTAGCCAAACATTATCTGCCACTCTAATTTCCTTCAAGTTATTTTTCTTATTCAATTTCTTCAACTTGTTTTAAATTCTGTACAATTTTCACTTGTTTTTGACTGCCACCACCAAATGTGTAAACGCATTTTTTTATTAAAATATTCGGATCTTGTCAAGGATTAGAAAACCCACTCATGACAGGGTTTTCTTTTCTTTACAAGAAGAGGATTGGGTTCATTATTCTTTGCATGAGAATCATCGGGTCCACTGTTAACATTTTGGTACAAGTAACTTTAAGGTTCAATAGCTGTTTTCATATAGTGGTTTTAATTTATCCATTCAGATATCCAGGAACCCTCAAGATGGATAGATCTGCGTTCACGGAGGTTGTGAAGCCATTACTTTGAGAGGATACCTTACCAGTTATTGACTGGATGAAGAACAAATCATTTATTCGACGAGAATTAAAACGTGAATCATGTAATACATTTATGAATTGGAAAGAAATGCAGTGCCTCTCTGGACGGTTATGTATGGAAGGACAAAATGAAAGACTGTTCACAGTATAAATGAAATGTAGCAATAAGAAAAAAACTCATTTTTTGCTAAATCAAAAGGAAAATTCCAGCAGTTGAATCATATCATATATTGTTGGTGTAATAAAATGAGTGAGCAGGAAGCTTTTTGTGTTGTAAATATATCTCACCAGACAATAATGGATTTTTACAATTTTTTCAGAGAGGTGTGCACGAGACATTTTGAGCTTAATCCTATAAAATTTGGTTATATATCGAGTTATACTTATTAATATCGAGTTATCGAGTTATACTTATTATAAAACCCAGGTTGTGTGTGTGTGTGTGTGTGTGTGTGTGTGTGTGTGTGTGTGTGTGTGTGTGTGTTGTTCGTTTATATATGGGATCGGATTTCCTACATTTTTCAACCGATTTCAACAAAACTTCACTTTTTTTGGCAGGTAGTGTTTCTTATTGTTTTGCACACTTTTTTCTTTATTTTTACATTCAGAATGCTTTTAAAATTCCATTTACAAGACAATTGTTTATAATAAAATTCTATGCAATCGGTAGACTCATAACGATTGAAAACAATGTTTTTGTTTGAGTTTGGGTTTGACCAATTCGTAAAAAAAAAAAAAAAAAACTAATTAAGACATGCGTGTCCGTCAACCTTAAACAATAATCTTTGTCAATTTTATTTTTCTGTCTTTATGATGGTCGATACTTGATCTATCTCTTACTGTTACATCCCCGGGCAACGCCGAGCTCTACTGTTAGTATATAATAATGTTAATACTAGATTCCTTTTATTTATTTATTTAGTCAAAGCACAAGTAAAACATCTTTGTTGGCCGTTAATGAAACACAGAACGTTTATTAACTGTAAACTGACATGCGTTCACTTTCTATTTCTGGTTGAGGTAAACTTTAAAAATATCTTCAAACTTTATTCACCTCTTATTTATTGAATGAGTAAACAGGCAATTGTAGTAGGGTCGTTTACAGACCTTAAGAAAATCTAAAATCTAAGAACATGGTTCCCAAATGAAGACATTAGTATTTCTCTTCTTGTTCAACACAAAAAATTTAGACAAGAAAGTCACTGACGATGAAAAATAGATTTATATATAAAAAAAATCAAGTTAAGATTCTGGAGAGCTTTGACTATCTCAATTTAAATATGAGTTCTACTAAAATATGAGTTCTACTAAAGGAAAAATATTCCTCTTTGGTATTATCATTCAAAAGAAATTTCTTTATTACACATTGTTTTAATACAGATAAATTGTTATTAAGCAGCACTTCACTAAGCAAACTGGTGTTTTCGAATGTCACTCTGTCCTGGGTATGACGATAAACTACATCCGCGTCCTGGGTATGACGATAAACTACATCCGCGCCCTGGGTAAGACGATAAACTACATCCGCGTCCTGGGTATGACGATAAACTACGTCCAACAGCAAGGCCTCTGATCAGAAGGTTTTGAGGAGTGTGAAACCACCTTTTAATTGCTGGTGTTCCCAGGTCCATCCCGACCCGGGGTGGTAGCACCTGTTAGGGTCCCAGCTATACTCAGACTATATCCGCGTCCTGGGTAAGACGATAAACTACGTCCAACAGCAAGGCCTCTGATCAGGAGGTTTTGAAGAGCGTGGAACCACCTCTTAATTGCTGGTGTTCCCAGATCCATCCTGGCCTAGGGTGGTAGCACCTGTTAGGATCCCAGCTATGGGCAAATAGTTACTATTCAGACTATATCCGCGTCCTGGGTATGACGATAAACTACATCCGCGTCCTGGGTAAGACAATAAACTACGTCCAACAGCAAGGCCTCTGATCAGGAGGTTCTGAGGAGCGTGAAACCATTTCATAATTGCTGATATTCCCAAGTTCATCCTAACCCTGTGTGGTAGCACCTGTTAGGGTCCCAGCATAGTTAACCTCCAAACTCGGGTCAAAACACTATGAAAGTGTAAAAATAGGTTTTAATACCAGAAATACTTTGTCAAAATTATTACCAGCAATATATTATTACCAGCAATACATTTTTTGAAAGATATTACCAGCGGTACATTTTTGGAGAAAAAATATTACCGAGAATAGATTTTCATACAAGTAGACTCGCCCAGTGTGTACTTGTACTGCTGCCGGTGAATACCCGGAAGTCGGACAGTCAGTTAGACAGAGTGATACGATGAGACAGTGAGAGAGTGAGAGAGTGAGAGTGTGAGGTAACCACTATGTAGGAGTCACAGTTGCGAGCACGCTGACTCAGAAGGAATTCATACTTGGATACTGAATTTCCCAGACTGTATATATATTATTATTGCTACTAACCGCATTTCTGGATCTACTAACCGTATTACCAATTGTATTATTACGTCAATATATTTATTTGCTATATTTCATTCCTGCGTTTGTCATTCATTTAAGACCGGATTTCATCCCGGAATCCACAACATTTTTTAAGGAAAATATTAGCAGCAATAAAAATTGTCGGCATTAAATAACTCATTGAGGTTGATATGCCGTAAAACAAACCAAACCACACCAATATATACTGAGATAGATAGATAGATAGATAGATAGATAGATAGATAGATAGATAGATAGAATTACCATAAAAATCTTGTCGGCATTAAATAACCCATCGTGGTTGATATGGCGTAAAACAAAATAAACCAAATGAATGTCACACTGGAATAGAAAATACACTTTTCTAGACAAGAAATGTAACCAGTTATTTTATTGCGCGATCATGTCTGCCTATGTATTACAAAGACAACGCAGGAAGCGACCAGAGATAGGATAGGCGGGGTTTCTTCTATATGCCACATACTCTCCAGGGGTGTTGTAGTTGACCCCATGCGCCCCGAAACGGTAAGAGGTCAAGGTTGAAGCGTCCTATTCGTTCCTGTTTAGGAAGCGGCCAAAGGCGGTCGTGACAGCGTCACCATCATTGTAGCACTTGTTTCGTTTTATGCAATGCTCTTTTTCATGTCATGTGTAATAGTAATATATAATAAAACTACAATTTATTTTAAAGGTGATATAAGGCAGTAAAAAACCGGAAAAATAATTTGATGACTGAATAATGAGGCTATGAATTTACATAAATATAAGGCGTAAAAAAAAATTGAAAACTTTTGCATCAGTCTGTTAGGTTCTGGATATTGCTGTAATTATGTTTGGCTTTCTCATTTAATCAATGGTCTTTATTCTATAACTTACCAGTAATTACATATCGATAATTTCATTGTCTGTTTTGCAAAGCGGGCTAAAAGCATAGCCGATCATGCAAGACTACGTAAACACAGAACTTAAAATAGATTGCACATGCATGAGTAGACAATATATCGAATGCTTTTTAGTAACACAAAAGGACGCAAAACACTATCAAAAATAACAGTGCAACAACAAAGAGTTTTAGATAGATAGATAGATAGATAAATAGATAGATAGATAGATAGATAGATAGATAGATAGATCTGTATGTAGAACACATGGAGCACTTGATGTGTACATGTGTTCTATAGATAGATAGATAGATAGATAGATAGATAGATAGATAGAAAATTCAAATTTGGTAATAATAGTTAATATTTGTTGTAAATGACAAAAATCAAAACAGCTTAGGTGTGTCTTATGTACTTTTATCTTTATAAGAACTTGAAAATGGACAAAATGGCAAAATAGAAAAAAGATGCTATCCACTTTGAGAACTTCTCATTTACAAAGAATTTCCGACACAGCACCTAATTTAGTTTTCCTGCCATTTATAAATTAATAAATTATTCCTATACATTAACCGTATTGATTCCTGTTATAGGAATGTCAGTATTACTGACTAAAATTTGCTCAGTTTTTTAACATCTTAAAAATTGGCTATTTTCATGTCAGCAGCAGGTCAGAAATTTTCATCACTTATCTTCAAAAACCACGTGACAGAAATTTCGTTTAGTGAACAAAGTTCTAAAGTTAAAACATTTTTCGAGAACAATTTGTCATGCCAAAAATCATGGTTTTGTCAAATTTGGCATCTTATAAATTTGATACTGGAGAAAATATGAAACTAAAATTTGGCACACTTATAAATGTCTATACAAATAAACAGTTTTTGACTTAATTTTATCTTGGTTCCAAATAGGTTAGATGCTATAGTCCATTAAAAATGGCTTTCGGGTGGTCCACATATTTTTTTAATTTAAAAGAAACTAAAAATCGAACGAAATAAACCATTTATATAAGGTTTCCACTAGATTTTTTTAATTTTTTAGATATATCAAGTTTATTATCAAGATTTATCAAATTTTATTTATGATTTTATTATCAAGATTTATTTAATTATCAAGATTTAGAGATATAAATATTTAGATATATCAAGTCAAAATAAGTAAAAACGCATTACAACTTGTTTTTGTCAAGCAATTTTATCGATACTCAAAGTATATACACAAGTCATGATAATTACTAAAGCAAAAACCACATTGAGGATACGTTAAAGGAAATAAACAAAAATATTTAGGTTTAGTGATAATGGTCAATACTTGAGTGATAATTTTAACTAAGAACTTGTTATATCATAATGTATTCAAGATTATTAATACCTTGATTCTATAATCTATCACTTTTACAAAATAAAAATTTTATTTATTAATTTCATATGATGTGTCATTTTGTCAGAAATGATGATTAATGAAATAAACATAATATTCATTTGAAAACCTACAATAATACCAACAAGGACGGAGATCTAAACAACAAAGATAGGGATACTTGTTTAAGTAATAAACAGAAACAGAAATACGTCATTTCATAACTGCTAACAAGGAAGGTTGCAGAACAAAAAATATGAGGCAAAGATGAAGGTATTATTCTGTACAATACTTTATGTCTGAACACTAGACATTGCTTGTGGAGAGGCTTTTTGGGGAAAAAGGCATGTCTAAACATGGTCACGACTACAAACTTCAATTGTGCATTGTGATAGTGAGTACAAACCAATCAAGGCTTTCTGTCCATTTTCAGATAAGTCACTAAGTTCCTGCTGAGTGGCCTCTTCAAATAATGAGTGGTCAAAGATAATCTGCTTAATCTATGGATAAGTACCAGTGACGAAGTGGGCGATTTATTATTATTGATCCTTTTTCCACCATGGAGAATTAGTACTCACTGTATTTGAGGGGAGAGCAAAGATAAAGCTCAGCCTCCACTGACACAATGATGAGCCTGTATCTGATCAGCAATAGACATTTTGTTTCGCATACACAAGCAAATCACGTGTAGACGTTTTGCACTAAAAACTTCCTAGGTAAAATGTGCAGAGATAACACCACGAGCATCAAAAACTGCTTGCACTTTAAGAATATGTAATAGGTTGTGTTTATTCTGATACGAGGCCAAATATGGATAAAGTGAGATCTTCTTAGCAACTATTTAAAGACAAGGAATCAAATAATGGTTCTAACAAGGAGAAAGAATCACGGCAAAAATAATTGGAAAAACACCTAAAATATTACCTGCCCAGTCCAAAGAGCTGCTGGGACCATTTTTGGATCCCTGTCTCGAGTTTGTTCGAATCTTTAAGAACAAAGAAGATTCCGCAGGCTCAGGTAGTAGTGACAATAGCTCCTGGGGTACTCCCACCATTCACATCCTCACAACTCTCACACCCATCAATACAACACACGAAATCTCCCTCACACCTCAACGTGACGATTAAAATATTTACCTGTCTATATTTCTGAGATGAGGCATTATGTACACTATTTACATTATTCGGACTATTGTCCTCATCTTTGTCGCCATATTTATTACAACGTTTCGGCCGTTGTACGCTCTGGCCTTCTTCAGGTGGTTGGAATGTCGAACTGAACCCTTTATTTCACTCACTGGGGTAGACTGTTCTACTTCCACGTGCCATGTTTAATGGATGCCAGTTATCAGTTATCACTTGTTAATTCCCCTCTCCACTGCCTTAACCGGGTATTGAACTCACACTTTTTGGGTCCTATCACTGAATCTAACGAACGCCTTTATCCTTGAGGACACATGGCGTAGTGGATAACTGACATCCATTAAAGATGACACGTGGAACTAGAACAGTCCACCCCAATGAGCGAAATAAAGGGTTCAGTTCGACAATCCAAACACCTGAAGAAAGCCGGAGCGTACAAAGGCCGAAACGTTGTAATAAATATGGCGACAAAGATGAAGACAATAGACCGAATATTGTAAATAGTGTACATAATACCTCATCTCAGAAATATAAACAGATACTGAAAGGCCGAAACGTAATAAATATGGCGACAAAGATGAGGACAATAGTCCGAATAATGAAAATAGTGTAAAATATTTACAATAGATACGTCGATGCAACGAGTCGCATATTCGGCAACACATAAATAAATACTAGAAAAACTAAACTTCAAAATTATTACTAACGCATGACCAACTTTGCAGGTCAACTTTAGAGAGAGCGATACATTTGGAAAATATTTAACCATTTTAAATATATTGGAAACCGGTAGAGTGGCCTTAACATAACTTTGCAACTAATCAAATTGCTGCGTATACATGAGCATACACCTTCTTTTAGGGTTACTCAGTTGGTATTGAGTTGAGTGAGTGTGTGAAATGTGCAACTATTACATTCAAAATGACTAAGCAGGTAGAACAGCAAAATATCAGGCAGGGTCTTTGGCAAAATATCGCATTGCCTAAGTTTGTCAGCCTTACTACAATTTACATATGGCTCCATGCAACTTTCGACTTTTCCCAAAACCAAAATTACAGTTGAAACACAATGAATCATATTAAGTAAAATGTGACGAAGTAACTGATATTGATAAAAAAAAAAAAAAGAAGGTTTAAAATCTATTTGCAAAATTGAATGAGTTCTTGGTTCCAAGGAGATTGCCTTAAAAAGGTAAAAGGTATCACTACTCAAGGTAGACTAATTTCTGTTAATATTAAATGACTGGAGGCTTTCTGGACAAACTTCGTATTATAAACTTCTTCACTGTTGTATTATTTCATTCAAGATTGTCGTGTTTTTTACACTAAACTGGATGTTGACTGCTCGATAACCTAAAGCAGTTTGCGAAAACGCTCGACGCATGTTTTCGGTATTAAATGATAAAATGAACTTTATATATTGACCAGTAGAAATAACTTCCGCTAAAAGACACAGACTGTGATTTGGAGCCGATACGACGGATATAAATTCCTTGATTCAACGCCACAGAAGACGGAGGGAGAGAGACCCGGTTGAGATGTCGACACGCAGAGGTTGGTCAAGAACGCTGCAGGCAGACCGAGACTTAAAGCGATACTTTTCAACTTTCATCCTTCGCCGCCACCGTCTTCACTGAAAACATCAGCCGACAGCCATGACCAACATTCTTTCTTTTTCTTTCTTCCTTCCCCACTCTGTCGCCTTTTACAACAGCAACGAGTAGTATACTGGATTTGTATATATGTAAATAAATTATACATTTATTTACCCAAAATATGATGTATTCCTTTTTCCTCGAATTTACGTTTGCTGAGGCGAAGAAGAAATTAACCTCCTCAGCAGAAATAACACGAGCGACAAGTTCTGCTTTCTTGGTTACTCTTTCTTCGTTTCCGCAACAAGATGTTGTACGAGTAATTTTACGAAGTTTGTATTCTCATTTTTTTTTATTTTCAGCCAACATTCCAATAGTATATCTACTTAAAGCTACTAACTACTTTCAAAGTCCTCTAATTAGTTTAATACCACATTCTCTAGAGACCGTTTGATGTATAGTAACAAGTGTCTGACTACGCAAGTATAATACCGACTTCTACAATATACATTGTCCAGCAGCTGTTGACTTTCACAAAATTGATGACCCGATATCAATCCTAGAAAGTAATGACCGTAACAAACTTCTTTTTTTTTCAATTGGTAACTGAAAATACAATTTACTACAGATCTTGATTACCTTAAAGATTAAAATTCAAAACCCTACCTTTTAGGGTCCAAACGCTAAACTTTGTCACTTGTAGAAAATACGCAACTATATCAATTCGGTGTAGCCCTTGATATTTACTAAGTCGAGCTTATTTTAACACAAAGACCATGTAGAAAATAAAAGATACTAAGATTGAATGCGACAAACTTTCAAATTGGGATGATTTGCTTGACTTGACTAGTTTTCGAAATTTTATTTTTTTCCCTGGTCTGAAACACCAAAGACTGGAACCATCAAGAAATACACAATTACTTCAGCCACATGGCAGGTGAGTATATATTTCAAAGATTTGTGATGATAAAAATTCTTAGAGAAAATTGACTCCTGAGATTTTACATTCAATAACCAAATTTTAACACATGAAATAAAAGTTTCTAACGGAATTTCTGGGATGAGGAGTTATCATTATTTGCATTCAGACTAATATCCTCATCTTTGTTGTTATTATAACCTGATCGCCTTCTGCATGAATTTCTGGGATGAGGAGTTATCATTATTTGCATTCAGACTAATATCCTCATCTTTGTTGTTATCATCACCTGGTCGTCTTTTGGCTGAAGTTCTGGGAAGTTATCATTATTTACACTATTTATACTCGGACTTTTGTCCTTATCTTTGTTGTTATTATTACAACATTTCGGCCGTTGTTCCCTTCGGCCTTCCTCAGGTGTATATCGATCTGCGTAAATTACAGGGAATTCTGTAATTTACCTAGATCGGTATGTCCTTGAGGAAGGACGGAGGGTACAACGACCGAAACGTTGTGATAACAACAAAGATGAGGACAATAGTTCGAATATAAATAATGTAAATAATGAAATGAAAGATCCACAAAAATTCAAAATTGTCAAGCTGAATTAATGTAGGTGGGTATTCTTTTGTTATAGTATATGTGGCTGTTCCACTGCAGTTGTAGTCAAAAATGGCAACCCAAATTTCCTGGAGTCAGTTATGTGCCATGCGTGATACACGCTTAGGTGATCATGTATCTTTCGATACATGACTGACGAGGCAGATTTGTTTTCCTGCAGTAGGTTGCCATTTCTTTCTGCAGTAGACCAGTTGCCATCCAAGGCTATAGAACCCGGTCTGTCCTGCTATTTACCCATAGCTGGTGGGAGAAGAAGAGGCTTCATACCTTTCTCAAGGGTATTAGCATGTAAGTGAATGTAATGGATTCGACTAGAATTTGAACTCGGCTCTCCGATTCCTCAATCCGTGCCTCCTTAAATTTCCAGGAACTGGTTCTATAAAGTCTTTAGGAATATATTGCGCTTATTTTCTTTTCAATCTGAGAATGGAAACAAATCACTTTATATAATATAAAAAAACATGTTGATAGTTTAATAGAAAACATTTATTAAGATATTTCAAGATTGAAATTCTGTACTCGTATTTCTGTTCAGAAGTAGGATGGTTTTTGACTCTAGTGTCCTCAGCTGTGTTATGACTGTTTAGCCACAGGCATAAGGCAAGGATGTGTCTTCTCGCCGGATCTATTCAGCCTATACAGCAAAGCAATTCTGAGAGAACTGGAAAACCTACCGGGATTCGTCATTGACGGCCACAATCTTAACAATATAAGATACGCAGATGATAAAGTACTGATAGCAGACACGGAAAAGAAATTACAAAACCTCCTACAGAAAGTAGCGAAGGAGAGCGAGAAGAAGGGACTAAGCATAAACTACAAGAAGACAGAATGCATGGTCATCAGTAAAAGGATAAGCTCCAAATATGATTTACAGATCGGGGGCATTAAAAGAAATTTAAATATCTGGGTAGTGTTTTGACAGAGGACGGCAAGTGCGACGCTGAGATCTGAAGACGTATTGGGATGGCCAAAGAAGCATTTCAAAAGCTGGGTAGAGTATTACGAGACAGGAAGATTTCTTTGGTTACAATGAAAAGAGTACTAAACTGCTCAGTGACATCTGTCCTCCTTTACAGCAACGAATGTTGGACGCTCTCCTCAAAGATGAAGAAGAGACTCGAGGTGACGGAGGCATGGTTCTACAGAAGGATGCTAAGGATATCATGGACCGAGCGTGTGAGCAACAATGAGGTTTTGGAGAGGATGCAAACAAGAAGAAAGCTTATATTTAAGACCGGGAAGAGGCAGTTGAAATTTCTGGAACACGTAATGAGAAAGGAGGGCTTGGTGAATCTGATACTCACAGGTTGAATAGAGTGAAAGAGAGAGAATAAAATGCAACATATGACATACCTAGTGGGCTTAAGCAAGTGGATAACAGAACATGGCCTGGGGTAAGTAGCAAATGGGCAAAACTTATTGAGAGCTACAAGGGATAAGAGAAGTGGAGAGCTATGATCGTCTACGTCCTGAAGGGACACGGCACATAAAAAGAAGAAAAGCCACATTCGAACTGAATTGCTACAGTCCCAAATGATTCAATGGAAGACCAATGAACTTTATGACATGAAGATTTGCCACATTTTTAACTTCAACAATAAATTATGTTCATCACAGAAAACCCTCTTTCAACTTCCGCAGAACTTAGAGCAATGGTTTTAGCTATTATATATCGGCTATTAATATATAAGATTATTTTCGGATAATCCAACAACCGGTTTGCTAAGGTTTTATAATTTTAAGAATCGGTTTGCGTGAACCGGTAGGATGTCACCACTGGTTGTACAATATAAAATGTTGGTTTCAGAACGATTTATGATTTGGTCATATCAACATTGATTGAAAGTGTGTATATTCTATAATTTGTGTATATTCTATAATTTTCTATTGTAAATCTGGCTCTTATACTGTTGTGTTTGATTGTAGAAGTGTCGTTTGAGCTGTGCTCGTTACTGCTTACTCATAACAATAACGGCTAATTTCTGAAAAGTATTATTGTGATCAAATCAGTTGGTTTACACATTTTACAATATTATCATAAATGCATATGTACTCCTGACATAAGTTTAAACTAAAGCCTTCTTTTTCCATATATCTAAATTATAATTATCAAGTATAATTTTGTAAGGTGAAGATTTCACTAAAATATGTTGGAATTTTTCCAAGTTTTTATCTAAAATCAAGAAAATATGAACTTTAATCAAAACGGTCGCAATATATGGAAAAAAAGAAGACGTCAGTTTAAACTGACAGCAGTACGATATGCGTATACAGACTTATTTCGTTTATTCTATTTCCCAAGCCGATAACTGTTATACTACCCTCACATCCTTTGTATATTGATTCTATTCAAAAAAGTTTCTTCTCTCGTACTTCTTACCTGTGGAACTCTCTTCCAGATTCTTGCTTTCCTGTCTTCAAAAATGTAAATGAAACCTCAATCGCCATTTCCTTTCTCTTTAAACCGTATATTGTCTTTTCTCCTCGGTAACGTTTTTTAAGCTTCCTTCGTTGTCAGTAAACCCTCGTGTCTCAGTGGCTTTATCACCTTGCTTGGGATGAAATAATTTTAAAAAAATGGTTTCTGTCTTATAGTTATTAGCTTACCCATGCTGTCAAAAAATGATAGAAATATTTTTTCTTTGCAATTATATTTTTACGTTTGTGTCACATGTCAGAAATAATTTTTAAATTGTTTACAATATTAAAAATATCCAATGAACCCTAATACAAAGCAACAAAAATAAAAAGCAGTATTCTAATAACCTGATATCCCCTACTGGCTACAGGGATTATCCCGTTGTTATGGTAACAACAAGCATGCTCGCTTATTAACGTCGAGTAATATCTCCTGTTACATTAACGATAGAATATCTTATTTCTGTGAATGAGAGATCAGGCTACGTTATTGATAAATAGATAACGTTACATTGTACTTTATATTACACAATTGGTTATTGTTAATTTCGTGTTGTGCCTAAGTTATGAATCAAACTTTATCATAGCTATATTTGTCTAGGAAAAACGTAATATATATATTAGGGTTTAGTGCTAACGATGGCTTCAAGCATCCGCTAAGAATTGTAGGGGGACGCGTGTCCACAGGTTTTGTAATGGAAGGAGGTTGAAGTTGAGAACTTTTGAAGAAATTGAATTCCACATTTTCAGAAGGGATAAATTTCAAAACGTGCAAAACTTTAACATATATATTTCATATAAAGAATAACAATACAAGAAGAGAAAATATATACAAGTGCGTACAGAGATAGTTTAAAAGGAAGAAAAGCGTTTAAGGCTTTGCTGTTTGAAGTGTGTGCGCGCGTGTGAGAGAAATAAATTTCCACCAGTGGGGACAATGCTCGTGCTAACTCTGCTAGAATTCAGAGCAAAAGAGTGCAAAGAAGAGAGACAGAAAAAGAGAAAGAAAGAAAGAGGGAGGGGGAGACAAATGGTTATCTCTGTTCTTTTATAGACCTGAAACAGCGCCATTCAACGAGTGTATTGGCAAACTAGGTGGGATTGTTGCGGCGCTAAGCAGGTTGACTGTTAACCCCGCAAACGGAAAAATAATATAAGGTAATACGATCGAAGCAAGGACAACAAAAACGAGGATGTAAAAGTTTAAGCCAAATTTTATTAAATAAATCTGGCACGAATATATACAGATAATCGTTTGTAGTAGTTCGGTCGTGTAGTCTTGAAGGAGCGTTGTCAGGTTTCAAGGCGACAGCTTGGAGGTAGGCCGAATGGAAACAGCGATGTTCGAGGTCCAGTCGATCCCTGGATGTCTGTACTTGAGTAAAGGGTGCGTCGGCGCTTGCAGAGAGAGAGGATCGACGCGGACAGTGCTGTGGTGTAGCCAGTTCGTCCTTGGGTAGACTGTCGTGCAGGATCGCAGCTTGGTAGTCCTAATAAAAGGACGCGGCTAGGTTAGTCCTGAAAAGGACTATTGCATATTATGTAATCGAGGGCAGACTAATGCATATCATGTAACCGAGGATAGGCTAGTGCATATCATGTAACCGAGGATAGTGCATATCATGTGCCGAGGATAGACTAGTGCATATCATGTAATCGAGGATAGACTAGTGCATATCATGTAGCCGAGGATAGGCTGCTGCTGACGATGAAGCTGGACTGCTCTGCTGGCTCTAGCTGCTGCTGATGTCTGCTGGCCTTGGCTGCTGCTGCTTCGTGTGGTCAGCGTAGGTGAGAGGGGGGAGCTCGTCGCTCAACCCCGAGGCCAAAAATCAGCCGAGAAGAATGGTATTTACTTGATTCCCACTAAATCAAGATATGACACAAGGTCGATTAACGTGGGAGACCCGAGTGTTTCCACTCATAGGCCACTAGTCAAAATTTGGTCAGAGCTTGTCCAAGCTGGTCAGAGCCTAGTCAAAGCTGGTCATAACTTGTCCTAACAGGTCCAGGCCGAAGCCAGTCCAAGCTAGTCAAAGCTTGATCGAATCTCAGTCAAAACCCCCAGCCAAAAGGCCGGTGGAAAAAATCCGCTGTGTATGTATAGGCTGAGGTCGGCAACGTAGCCTGTCAGCGATATATTTGGGGTGATGACTGAAAATTACCTTCTACTTTTTGGCTGTACACATGGGTTCCATTCGGACACCGTGTGTATATAAAGTAGTTTCTGGTAATTGTTTTTGGTTAGGAAAGTTAGTATATGTAAATGTTTCGTTTTTTCTTAGTTTGTGTGAGATGTTGACTGAAAAACGCTTAGTCACCGGAAGTTAACGGCATTCGTTATGTTTTCCGCGGTGACGCTTTTAGATGTTTGAGTAGCCGGCAGTAACTTCCGGCCGGGTGCGATAGGATTATCCCTACAGGGTCTGTGAACACACATTTGCGAATAAAGTGGATGACTTTACTGATCTACCATATTTGTTAAATGCATACTGGATGGACAGGGCAATTTTCTGGCAATGTGGAAATCAAAACCAGCTCCCAAACCTTTGATTCTTAGCAGAGATATGAATATATTTTCTGACGAATGAGAGGGCCGGGAAAATGTATAAGCAATTTTGGAGGGAAAAGTTGCAGATATTTCTGAGGTTTCTAATCTCAATAAATACGGAGAATATGCGCCTCTTTGGCAGTGAGTATTTGACATCATCTGTGATAACATCAGGATGAAATTAAAACCAGTCATCTTCGGAACCTGTTTCAAGGAGGAAGTCTACATGCTGGGTTCTAAAGACAGAACATCGGCCCTCTACTAAAAACTGTCGGGTCAACCGCAAGTTTTCCATCTCAAGAGTCAGGAGTCAAATGATCAAAATCAATTATTTACGCATAAAGCTCCGAGTGGCACTTCCGGTAGCGTTAAAAACATTCAAAATATAGTACAAATTATTAATCGACCAGTGACAGCGTTTCCCTCGCATTTTCAAGAGACTTTTTTGGGAGCCAGCACCTGCTTAACGGAAGCTATAAATGCTGGGCTCTAAAGACAGAACATCGGCCCTCTACTAAAACTGCTCAAGATCTGCTTCCTAGGTCTACTAGGAAATCACTCAACTACAAACTACGGATCTTCTGATTGCCCCCACCTCAACATGAGCTCTGAAGAAATCTTATGTGAATGTATCGTAGCGCCCCCGCTATTCCCGTTCATGTAAATGGCGGACGAGTTATTACTTCGGGACCTTTACCTAACCTTTGCCAGACTTATTTAGATTTCGCTTAGTTGTTTGATTATTATAATACAATCTAAATAGTCCATTTGAACATTTCATAACATTTTTAATACATTACAGCAACTCGGTATTTAAGGTTTTAAGTACGTTTAAGCTCGGCGACTTTACTACACACCTTTGTCGTATAAACCGGTGATTTTTTGACAATCAAAAAGGAGGGGAAAATTTTTCTCTTCCTCTGTTATCTAACTCACCCCCGTTTTCCGTTTTTTTATGTTACTAGAATGGTGACGTGGACGTCACGAAAGGAGGAAATCTTGCGAGATGAACGTTATTCACATCAGGATCTGGTTGTTTTTTTAAAGCTTCAGCTTAGGATAATAATAAAAATCAGATCTGATAGCGTTTGATTTCGACAGATTTCAACGAAAGGTGGGTGACTGAGGCGAGCCTGGTTCGTGTGGACAGGGATAGCCTTGATTTTCTCTTTTAAGTCCCCTTGATGCAACGGGGCGATTTCCTGTGAACCTACCCCTAGTTAAGTTAGACACTGTTTTGTTTTCCAAGTTAATGTTAAATAAGTGTTGTTCCCGGCCCGTTTCCCGGTATTCTCTTTTGTTATGGGCCATGTTAAGATCCCCAACCTCCCCACTTTGTTTCCCCCACACACACACATTTTTTATTTCGATAGGGTTAGTCTTTGATTTTCCCCATTCCGTCATTTATTTTTATCCTTCCCATTCCATTAGTGAGTGTGCTCCTTGATTCTGTCTCTGGACAGAATACAGCGGCCACTCTCATTATTTTGAGGGGTGGGCGGTTCCAACTAACATTGTTTTGTTTTAGTTTTATCTTTGGTTTACTGTTTGATTTTGTTGTCGGGGTTCATTTCCTCTCTCCCTTCATTTCATGTTTCATAGAAATTTTATATATTTTTATAAAGAGACGTTATGATCATCATAAATTTTTACATCATGGCGTGTTTTGTAGGTCCCTTGTGAATATGTGGTATTGTGGTACATGTAGAATTGGGAGGTGATGGACAAGTTCTTGTGGTGACTGATTGTGGTGTATTAAAAGAATGGATCGTGATAGTGGTTAACTATAGTAGTTACTGACTACAAGCCTTTCCCTCCGCCTCCTTCGGCCTTGTGCCACAATTTTGTATTTTTTTACAAAATAAATATTCTCTTTTATCGAACTCTCTGTCTCTGGGAGGAGATGAACCCAGACGAGGCTATGCGAGTCTCGTTTGGGGAGGTAGACAAACCCGACGAGGTCTACAGGCAATTTTTGCCCGTGCCTACGGGCTCGGGACACCTCACGCTAAAAACTAGCCTTGTGCCACATTTTGCCTTGGGGGGGGAATGGGGGCTATTTTTTTCCGAAGGGCAGTGGAGGAGAAGGAGGAGGAGTTTTTTTTCCCCCCCGTCGGAGTAGATGCTACATTTGTAGTAGTTGTCTATTCCGTGTCGGGGGCCTTCTCTCCTCCCTTGCGTTGACCGTAATCCCCCTCCAGGGGCCTGCAACAAGTACTTGCTTAAAGCACTTTTAGACGCTCAGAGAAATATTTTAAGCGGTCCTTTTACATGAACACTTTTTCTTCCTTTAAAGGAATTTTCTTATCCATTTCTTTTCTCTCATTTTATATCCCTTTTTACCTTAGTTTTGTGTATGAAAAATAAACATTTTCTTCTATTGTTGTTACACCCCGAACAGGAGTGTGAATCTTTATATTCTTCCGTCAAAGACAGAGAATTGACCGCTGTAAACTTTCAATCCGTTGTTGCTTTTTATTGATTCTGACACCTTTTTTTAACTTTTTAATCCTTTCATGTGGGAAAGCCGGGACACATTTCCCACACGGTCTTTTAACAGCCAATTCTACAACTAGAAAAAAAGTTTCCACACGTGTGTGAACTTTTCTAAAAAGTTTTTTTGTGTACACAAAAAAAAGTAACAATTTTTCATAAGCCGTCTAGCTTTCTTTAGTATATTTCAATTTAATTTACCTAAAGTACATGTATTGTAGACAAACCAAGACGATTAATATTTGTTTGCATTTTTTAATTAACTATTATTTTTAATTATCTTAACTAATAGTTTTTTATAGCTCTAAAAATATTTGGCATAAATGAAAATAATTAATCTCCAGACAATAACGGAAGATTCATGTTTCAGCGATAAATGGTGATAAATAACAAAAATAAAGAAAAATATCTAAAAGAATTCATAAAAACAATTGATTCCAGAATTTCTAACGATAAAAAAATTTTGTAGAATGCAAAAAAAAAAAAAAAGCAACAAAGTTGAAATTAAGAATTAGAGAGAAATTAATGAAGAAAATATTTGTAAACTGAACACTTTCGAAAATGTTGATTTCCAAATTAATGAATTGTTGTTTGCCGAATTTAATGAATGTTGTATTAATTACAATACTAATGACCCACTTAATACACACTTCATAAAACATAAGGTAAAGAGTAAAGACTGTCATAAACTTAAATGAATAATGCTCATAAATTCTTTTTAAATGTCTCAACAGACCTGTCAGGATTTACCACATCTAACATCGGCTTACCCATTGTCAAAGAGAGTGACTCACTGGTATTCTGGTTGCTCGAAGATCAGTGATCATGTATTTGTAAATTTCAATGTTTATTTAAGCAAGATTAGAAAACATCAAACAAAATTATTAAATTAGCTGCTAACACTAAACTTTTTTTTTATAGATAAGAAGCCCACAAACTTTTAAACTTAAATTTTAAAAGGTTTGATATAATTTATATCTTCATAAGTATTTTAATTTGGGTTTTTCGGAGAAGAAATAAGTAAGAAAAACAACTCGTTTGTTAAAATTTAAAAATACTGTTTTTTTTTTGTGTGTGTGTGTTTTGTTTGTGTGTGTGTGTGTGTGTGTGTGTGTGTGTGTGTGTGTGTGTGTGTTTAATATTTTTTGAAAATAGAAATTCTAAATTTTATTCGAGTGTTGAATGAAAATAGAGACAATGTTGATAAGAGACATTTTTTCGTTTCACTGATTTCAAAGCTGGGTTCTTTAGCTGTGGAGTGCGCTTTTTCCCTTTCTTTCCGCCTCTCCCAGCTTCCTTAGTAACGGGTCGTTGCCATGCTTTGGTCACGTGGTCAGGTCCAATACAAAGCAACATGGCGGCCGTGAGTATGATTTTATTTTTGAAACTGATTTTCTGTCAACACACGTTTCAGTTTTAATAACACATTTTTGTTTAAAGCAACCGATATATATATATTGTTTCATAGAAGTCTAATTAGTCTCTGATATTAATTTTAATATAATGTTCTGTTGAACAAAACAAAAAAAAACGTAAATCGTGGCTTGGGATTTATTTTTATGACGAAGATTTGTTGTGATAGAAAAATATTGTAAACTTTTTAGATTTTTTACTCAATAACAAATAAGAATTGCTTTATTACTTTATTTATTTTTAAATCATGACGTGTTTATATCAGATCAATTTATTGTATTGATAGTATATTTGGGTGAAAATCTATTTTTTTGACAAATGCAGATTTTGTATTTTTTTTTTGATGTGAAAAAAACTAATTGGAATCTTAAGTAAAAAAAAAACTTTGAATATTTCAACCATAAAATAAAAATAACTTGGTGTATTTTAATTTCTTTGTGATGACTAAGCCATAAATACATATTATTTAAAAGTAAATTTACGAAGTAGCAAATAGTCACTAAGTCAGACGAAAAACAACACAAACGGAGAAAAGAGTCAAGTGCCCTCTAAATATTTTTATTTTTTACTTTGACAATTCATTTGTCGTTTTATTTATGAAACTTTAATATATTTTTTTTATTTTTATAACTTTCGTGTTGTTCCATATTTCGGTAAAATTATGGTCTTAAACTAGAATAAACTATTTTTTTTTTAATTAATTCAATTTTACCATAGTCTTATTCCAGATCTTCGTTTTAAAAAAAAGAGAAAAAATGTAATTACTGCATTAATTCCTCCCAAAAGCCAAAAATTAACTCTAATTTGCAAAAATAGCCTGTTTTGTTAGTTAAAAACAGTGTTTAAATTAAAAGTAAAACCATCATACACGCACACAACAAGCATAATTATTACCAGAATTTCAATAAAATTTTACCCTTTACAAAATAAAAACTAAAAAGTTAATGTTTTAGAACAGCAAACACAAAAAAGTATGTTTCTTCTCTTTTGCTTTTAAATTTAATTTAATCAATTTATGAACAAACCCAGGATTTTTTGATTCTCTTAAATCTTTTTTGTTTACGTTTTTACCAAATGCACCAGATGTTATTTTTAAAAAAAGGGTTTGAAACATAAAAATCAATAATTTGATTTGAAGTCAGTACAAAAAAGAAAGGTTATTTGCCGAGTAAGTTAATTTCTTTTTATATGTCTGTCTATCTGCCATGTATTTTGGCACACGAAACAATTTTATTTTTTCGTATACCAAATTAAATTATCTCATTCGATTATTTTATTACCTAACCTCATATTCGGAATACCCTTTTTTTTCTTTTCCATAAATAAAATTCAAATTTGTGACCACTAAGAATTTGTAAAAAAAAAAAAAAAAAACGTAGTTAAACAAATAATAATAATGATGACAATATAAACCTTTATTAAAATAATAAAAATTTATTTAAAAAATGTCGGGGCTACTTCCATTTTTTGGGGGGGATAAGTAGTGGGCTGACATAAAATATCACGAAAAAATTAGTATTCAAACCAAATGCGATTTTATTTCATCATAAGGTAAGTCGGAACTTTTTTTTAATTTCAGTTATTAATTTTTGTTTTATAAATTCTTATTTAGTCATAGAAGTTGAATTATATTTCATTTTTAATTAATTTAGTTAATAAATCCGTACTCGGAATATGAGGCTAGGTAAAGCAATTTAAGGGAAGTAATTTGGTATGAAAAACTTTTCGGTTGCTAAAATAATGACAAACACTTTTTCAAACATATTGTTTTCTTTTTCTTAAGTTTTTATTTACTTTTTTAATTTTTATTTTTTTTAATTAATTTTCGGTTAAACTGAACTGAAGTAATAGGCTTTGTTTTATTATGTCGTTTGTTATTGTAAGTAACTAAAACTTTGTTCGCTTATTTAGAAAAAAAAGTTTTGTTTTTTGAGGAAAATTAAGTTGATCGTCGATATTCAATTGATTTTGAATGCAATACTTAGCCTTGCTGCCCTTTTACGCAAATAGCTGCACAGTTACCATTAATAAGGGGGGATTTTCTTAAATTCGAAATAAAAATATCAATGTTTTGCTTTCTTAGCCTCGTTTTGGGTTTTTTTTTCTTTCATACAAGTTCTTATTTATTTCTCTTAAATCATGATAAATGTAATATTTTTATCACTTTTTTTCTATATAAATGTTTTTAAAACTTATTTTTTTGTTTGATGAATTGTAATCATAAAAAAAAAAATGAAATAAAACTTCCCTTCATCATAAAACAAAATTTTAATGGCAGAATTAAAATTGGTCTAGATTGGCATTTTAATGGCACTTGACTTATAGCAAAATAAATAAATTTGATATTTATCATGTGGCCATATTTCCCGACTAGCTTTCCCAATATCCAGGACTTCGAATTGTTAATGTCTAGAGATAGTTTTACTTTTAAAAGGCATCTTTGAGGGTGTGTAAAGGAAATGTAGCTGTTTATATTTCATCTGGTAATTTCTCCAATCATCTTCAGCAGGTGATTGTGACATCTAACATGAAAAATCATGCTGAATTGGCAAACCATATCAAATTATATCAAATAGATGGTGTTGCTTTACACCATAAAATCGTTATAATTTTTGACGCAGACATTATCATTGATTCTTCCTTCATTGTAGGAAATGCAAAAAATGTATGTAGACAATCTTGCGTCGGGTTTTCTTTCTTTTGTGATCAGGATATGTACATAGTAATTGTGGATTTTTTTAAAAGTATTTTGACATCATTATCTTTTCGAACAGTAAATTTTACTGCACAAAATTGTACTTATTGATGAATTACACTTACACATGTATAAACTAAACATGTTTGTGGTGGATAACTAGAGTGGATCAATATATATGTAGCCTGATACAATTATTAACTTAATTTTGATCTGAAATGTTCATTGTATAATATTTCGTCTATGTGATTAGATTAATATTCACCCTTGAATGAAATACATGAACAAAGAAGGATAGTGAAAAATTGTTGAAAAATGATTTCTTGTAAAAAGTGTATTTTTCATTGTGTGTTTTGTAGGCAACAAAAACTCTCCCTTCCTCTCAATTCACAGATCTATATCGGATGTACAAAAGGGATTTAAAAAATGTAACTGTCTTTCCTAAACGATTACATTTAATTTTTCCCCATTTAAAAATTGAAATTCACTGTGAGTTAAGAAATAACAGCTTTCCTTACAAATAAAAATAAATGTGTGAGGAAATAGAAAAGTTACAAAAATATACATTTATGCAGAACAAAGTTGTCTTTTCTTTTCTGCATATGCAATAATGGTATCCTTCCTGGAGTTAGTGTATATACAACAAGTAAAAATTTATTATATCAGGAAAATTGTTATCATTTGACCAATAAGATGAAAACTATGGAATTAAAAATGTTACTAGATATAACCTGCATCTAAAAAAAGTACAGAGAACCCAGTAGACAAAATGTAGTGATCAAAACAACAAGGGTGAAGATATTAGTCCATATAATTAAATGAAACATTTCTAAGTAGAAAAATAATTAAAAATCAGTTGAGCTTACTGTTACTGTTTGTCCTTTTGTAAAAACTGATGAACATTAAAAAATAGTTTACTTTACTCATACAGCAGATATTTTTTAAGTATCAAATTATAAATATTTTTTCTGAACACTTTTTAAAATTATTGGAAATTGTAATTTTATTAGTAATTCCAATAAATGGTAAAAACAATAAATAATTTCTACTTAACAAATTACAATATTTGATTTTCAAAAATATTACAAACAGTGCTATTCAAAAGTTCAAGAAATAATTTCTTCAAAATTAGAAGAAAAAATGACAGAAAATGATTTTTTTTTTTCCTGCTGATGTGATTTCAAAAGATGTGTGAAATGTTTTTCATGACACAAGGTATGCTGGGTAACTTGATAAATAATCAATCTGTTCAAATTCTCCAAACCTTTGAATAATATTTAATATACCAATGTACTAGATGTGCATAATTCAATAATGCAGTGTAACCCGGATATAAGAGAGTTGTCGGGACTCTTATATCCAGGTTTGGTCTATTTTATATACATTAACACAGGCTCTAATTTGGGACCAGAGAAAATCTCTCTTATATCCAGGTTTGGTCTATTTTATATACATTAACACAGGCTCTAATTTGGGACCAGAGAAAATCTCTCTTATATCCAGGTTTGGTCTATTTTATATACATTAACACAGGCTCTAATTTGGGACCAGAGAAAATCTCTTTATATCCAGGTTTGGTCTATTTTATATACATTAACACAGGCTCTAATTTGGGACCAGAGAAAATCTCTCTTATATCCGGGTTTCTCTGTATTATATTTGAAGTAGATTATAAACTAAGAAAAAAAAGTTTTGTGAATTTGATGTGAATTTTATAGTTTTACAAATATCTCCTTAATGCTGTCAAAAGTAGCTGTACAAAAAATAAAAATGTAGTTATTTTGGTGGTTTTTTGTTTTTTTTTTTTGCATTATTCATGCAAATAATCAGTGCATCCAATCACATGAAATTAGTTTGTTTATGAAAGGAAGAAAAATCAAATGGGGGGTCAGATGAAAATGTAAAACAAAAATCACCTATTCAGATTTTCCAGTTTCTGGAGGATAAACTGCTTTGTGTTTAAAAGTTTAATTTAACAACTATAAAAAAAAAAAAAAAAAGTCAGCTTGTGCTGGGGAAAATTAAAATCACCTTATATCAATATACATTCATTTTCAATTTAGCAGTTTTCAAAATATTACTTTTAGCTCTTGTTTGTGATTTTTCTTTTTTAGTCAAATTTTGTCATTTTGAATTTGGGCTGTTAAATTTATAATTTGAAGAATTAATGTGTGAGGAATTGACAAAAAGGGAATAGAGAAAAAATAGGAACGATATCAGGATGGATTTCATTTTGTTGATGTGAACTCAGCCTT